AAATGTAGACTTCTTAATGTCTAGGGATTGCTCCATAAATGTTTAGTTATTTCCATATTGATGGGAGGTAGGAGAAGGGAACAAGAGAAGGGGTTTAAGAAACAAAAGCGAAGACGGGGTAAGGAAAAGGAGGATTTTAAAGAGTGTGGGAGAGGACATGTAGAGGGAAATGGGCATGGAGCAAAAGTGGTAGATGCTTCTGTCCTTCTGTCCCTGAGGGTAAGTGGCTACTAGGACACTTGGAAGGACAGTCTGTGTCACAGTGTTTTCAAAAGCATGAGACTGTGAGTCTTAATTCTTAGAGGAAACTTTTCCAACATGGAACAATCATAAGTTTGCACACTCAGAGTTCTCCTATTTCAGTGACCTCAGGGGGAAAATAGGGATTTTTTTTAAAACTTCATCTCTACTGAATCTTGGTTGCTTTGACTGCTCTAATTCCATAAGGTAAATGTGATTCCTGAGCCCAATGTTGAGTAGAAAGGCCTGCATATGCCAGGAATGGCAGTAGGAATATATGTATTTTTTTAATTAAATGTTTTTATTTTGGATTGAGTGAAGGCAGTAGTAGTAATTTAAGGTCCATTTCTGCACTCAGAAAATGCTTGTAGAACAGTTTTTAAGAGGTGAATATATCTATTCATCAAAGATAAATGGCATTTGGACACATTTCTGGCTTTAAATCTGTAAAAACAAACCCCCAATGCCTATTATAAAGAGTGCCTGGCGATATGAATGTCTCATCCTCAATTTCCTTTTCCAGAACCCTGACATCCTATACCTAAAGTCAAACTCCTAGCATCTTTTCTCCTGCTCTTGTTCTTTGAATCATCCTAAAAAACCAAAAGTGGATCCTGCCCAGCATTTCCATGTAATAAACCCCTGGCCTTTTCAAATATGGCATGCAAGTCAGTGTGACAAACAACAAAAGTGTTAGCCAATATTTGCTAAACACTATGTTCTAGTTACTGTAGTAAGGCTGTACATGTATTATCATTTTGATTCTAATATCCAAATAAATATCATTGTAGGTTTTGGTCATAGATACCTACTGGATAGGTGGTGTTGTTGCTGTTAGGGGCCATTGAGTCGGTACCAAATCATAGCAACCCTATGTATAACAACAGAATGGAACACTGCCCAATCCTGGGCCAACCTCACAATTTTTGCCACGCTTGAGCCCATTGATACTTCCACTTATCAATCCACCTTGATTGGGGTATTCCTCTTTTTCTCTGACCCTCCTCCTTACCAAATATGATATCATTCTCCAGCGATTGGTCCCTCCTGACAATATGTCTGAAGTATGAGAGACAAAGTTCAGCCATCCTGGCCTCCAAGGAGTGGTCTGGTTGCACGTCTTCTAACACAGATCTGTCGGTTCTTTTGGCAGCCCATGGCACTTTCAATATTCTCCTCCAGTACCATAACTCAAAGGCATCAATTCTTCTACAGTCTTCCTTATTCACTGTCCAGCTTTCACATGCATATGAGGTGATTGAAAATACCATGGCTTGGGTCAGGCACACCTTAGTCCTCAAACTGACATCTTTGCTCTGCAACATTTTACAAAGGTATTGTGCAACAGATTGCCTAATGCAGTACATTGTTTGATTTCTTGACTGCTGCTTCCATGAGTGTTGATAGTTGATCCAAGAAGAATGAAGTCCTTAACAACTTCAATCTTTTCTCTTTTGATACGAATGTTGTTTATTGGTCCAGTGGTGGGGATTTTTGTTTTCTTTACATTGAGATGTAATCCATACTGAAAGCTGTGCTCTGATCTTCATCAGTAAATATTTTAAGTCCTTTTCACTTTCAGCAAGGAAGGTTATATCATCTGCATATTACAAGTTGTTAATGAGTCTTTCTCCACTCCTAATGCCATGTTTTTCTTCATATAACCTAGCTTCTCAGATTATTTGCTTGGCATACAGGCTGAATAAGCATGGTGAAAGAATACAACCTTGTTGCACACCTTTCTTAATTTTAAAACATTCAGTGTTCCCATGTTCTGTTCCAACAACTGCCTCTTGGTCCAGGTACAGATTCCTCACGAGCACAATAAAGTGTTCCAGAATACTCATACTTTGCAATGCTGTTCATAACTTGTCATGATCCACGCAATCGAAAGCCTTTGCGTAGTCCATAAAGCATAGGTAAACATCTTTCTGGTATTTTCTGCTTTCAGCCAAGATCCATCGGACATCAGCAATGATATCCATCATTCCACAGCCTCTTCTGAATCAGCTTGAACCTCTGGAAGTTCTCTGTCAATGTATGCTTGCAGCCGTTTCTGTATTACCTTTAGTAAAACTTTACTTGCATGGGATATCAAAGGTATTGTCTGATAATTTTCTCTCTTCGGAATGGGTACAAATACGGATCTCTTCCAATCAGTCGCCAGATATTTGTCTTCCAAGTTTCTTGGCAGAGATGAGTGAGTGCCTCCTGTGCCGTCTCACTTTCTTGAAAGATTTCAATTTTTGTTCGATCAATTCCTGGTGCCTTGTTCTTCACCAATTCCTTTAATGCACCTTGGACTTCCTCCTTCTTTATCATTGACTCTTGATAATATACTTTCTGTAACTCTTTTGTTGTTGTTGTTGTAACTCTTTAGGACAGAGTAAAACTCTCTAGGACAGAGTAAAAGAGCCTTCTAGGATTTCCAAGGCTGTAAATCTTTTTGGAAGCATATTGCTACAGTTTTCTCCTGTGGAGTAGATAGATGGTGGATTCCAACCACTGACCTTCTGGTTAGCAGCTGAGCACTTTCACCAGGACTCTTTAAAAATGGTATAGCCACTGTGGAAAAACAACTGGTGGTTCCTCAAAATGGTAATCATAGAACTACCATATGACTTAGGAATCCTTATCTTAAATACATACCCAGAAGAAGTGAAAGCAGAAAGGCAAACAGACATGTATGCAAGTGTTCATTGCAACACTTTTTAAAAATAGAAAAATTGTGGAAACAACTCAAATGACCATAAGCAGATGAACAGATCAAGAAAATGTTGTATATACATACAATAGAATAATATGTAACCATAAAAAGAACCAACAAAACATTCTCCCAATTCAACAATGTAGAAATTGTAGTATTGGGGAATGTTTACATTGTGCATGGAGCCCTGGTGTGGTGCTATAGGAGAAGTAGTGGACCACAAAGTCCATTTGAATTGCAAGGTCAGTGGTTCAAACTCACCAGCCGTTCCTTGGAAACCCTATACAGGGCTGCTAAGATTTGTAACTGAGTCAATGGCACTTAACAACAACATTAATAATTTGCGGAACATTCCACAATTTCCATGCTGTTATTCTCCTCCTCTTTCTTCAGTGATTCAGTAATTTTTTGTGTAGAACACTGGTGGCAAAGGGAGTAAGAGCTCAGCTGCCAACAGAAAAGTCAGCATTTTGAAGCCACCATCCACTCCACAGGAGAAAACATGTGACAGTCTGCATCCATAAAGATCACAGCTTTGGAAATTCAATAGGATTGCTATGAGTTGGAATTAACTTCATGGCAATAGGTTTAGTTTGGGTTTTGGCAGTGAAAATATGCACAGTGTGTTGCTATGAAGTGCCATTGAGTTGATTCTGACCCATAGCAAACCTGTATGGGGTTTTCAATGAGCAGCTGGTGGGATTGAACCATTGACTTTGTGGTTAGCAGTCCAGTGGTGCTTTGCAAATTAAGATGTCTTAAATAATTACCATTCTCACTTTCTCTGGATGATTAAGGACATCCTAAGTTTTTCACTTATGTTCCATCCAACTCTTTTCCCCATCCATTTGTATTTTTTTTCTCCACACTGCACAAACATGTTAAGCTCCAAATATTACTTCATTTACCTAGAGGTTTTAGTCTCCAGAAAGTCAAAATTAAGGGAGCTACAGCTTTAAATGGTAAAGGAAATACAGAAACTAAAGGACTTTACTCCACCAGAAAAACACACAAAAACAAAAGCCTTTAACTCATTAAGTTCCCTGAGTTCTAACTCATGCCAGAAATGTACTCTAACATTTTCAGAGTTGGTAAGAGATATGACAAATAAAGATGTAGAAGTGCCAGTCAGTCATTTTTTTATATAAACAGGACAATTGTTTGGAAATAATGAGATAAATGGGTAAAATAATAAAGCTAATGGTACTTATTTTTCTTTGTGATAACAACCGATATTCATTTTGTCATTTACAGTTTATGATAAAGTGAGAACACAGGATTTTTAGTTCAAGTTCTCCATCTCTTTTTTGAGAACAAATTTATTTATAAAGTAAAGGTATAATCTCTTCCTCATTTATTTTAGAGAGCTTTTGGAGGATCAAAGCAGAGTACTAGCTCTGAACATGGGTTGAGAGTAAAGACAGCTTATAGAAATGAGGTTTTGATGGCAATCATCATGAATTGTACATCACTCTAACATGGTAGAACAATGAAATACAATTAGGAAGAACATATCTTTGTCAGAAACCAAATAACACATGATAATGATTAAAAGAAATTGCTTTCAAATTATTGGAGATTTTTAAGCTTTTGCTGGACTTTGTGGGTGGGCTCTAAGTACTGACTGTCCTGAGCAAAGGGCTTTGTTTAAAAACTTTGGAAACTGTTGTGTGCTGCCGAGTCGGTTCTGACTCATAGTGACCCTGTATTGGCTTTCTGAAGCATAAATCTCTATGGGAATAGAAAGCATCATCTTGATCCTACAGCGCAGATGGTGAATTAGAACTGCTGATCATGTGGCTAACAGTCCAACACATCACTTATGACACCAGACTGAGCATAGATAAGATCCAGAAGTATCAACTCTAAAGCTAAAAGACATTTAGATTGAATATCACTCTATTCTCAGTTAACTGGATCCCTTTTGAGTACAGCATTTACTGAGACCCACGGTGTTTCTGTTAAAAACATAGATCAAAAGGATGCTTCCTTAAAGACCGTTTCTAAAACTTTATGGAAAACTAGTAGACAGTCAGCAAGGGTCAGAACTCACAGGTTTGCAGACAAAGGAGCAAGATCCAGAGGCAGTGCTGAGCCATTTTCGTCAGGCATCTAATCTTCTGTTGACACGAAAGGCACTCCCTCTAGAAGAGAATCTGCTTCCCTTGTATTTTCTTTTTATAGCCCAGTTTAAGAAAGGAAGTGTAAATTAACTGCTTTAGGATGCATTGGTCTTTGTGGTATGACACTAGTTTTTTCCTATTATATGAGTATCAGAAACATAAAGGGTCTGACATTAGTTTATTCATTTATTCAACAAATATTTATTGAGTACTTAACAACAACACCACCTACTATGTGCCACGCACTATTCCAGGCACTGGCAATATAAAGATCAACAAAGCAGTTAACCTCCCTCCATTCATGGAGTTTATACTCTTACTGTAGAAACTAATGACAACAGAAGTAATTTCAATATAGTGTGATAAATGCTGCAATAGTGGAAATCCATGCACTCATCTTTTGGTGAGCAGCTGAGAACATTAACTGTTTGGGGAGAGTTAGATTGTATAGCTTTTTCCACTTAGAAGAGGAGTTCTTGGGTCAGTTAGCCTATTTCTAGGCAAGTGGAGTCTTTGGGATCATTCACCGGATAATCTGATTGATTATTTCCCCATATATATACTTGCTCAAGTTTGAATAGTTTTTTTTAAATGTGGATGTAGTGAAATGGGCAGTTGTTTCAAAGAAGAATTGAAAGTACAAATGAAACTTCCCAAATTCATTATGGTTTAATTTCACAAGATTAAACCACAATTCCCTTCACATTTTTTAAGCATATCTTCTGAAATATGTATCTATTATACCGTATTTACAAAGAGAAGAAAGAATATAAAATTGACAAAAGCTGACAACATGACTTTATATTCTTTCTTCCTTTTTCTTTCTTTGGAAGAACACTTCTTCTTTTCTTGTCATTTAAAGCTTCTCCCCAGTTTCATGTGTGTATCTTTAGAAATATTGGAACGGTATCTTCCTCAAAGTCTTATCTACTGTTAGGCCAGACCTATGCCTTATCTTTTGTCTTTCAACTTTAGAAAAGACAACAAATGAATATCAGTAAGAGACTAGTTGTTGAGAACTCTTTTCTTTTTCAGGATGAAGAAGTATATGAAAGACCTTTAGTTCCACAATAACAATAACAAAAACCATGGACAAAATAAAATCCATACTTTTCTATACAATCACTGAACTGCTGACCACAAAGTCAGTGAGTCAAGCCCAACAGTTGCTCCTTGAAAGCCCTATACAGGGTTGCTGTGAGTCACAACTGACTTGATAGAACTTCACAACAACAACAACAACATCAAAGAATGGTGCTTACAAGAAACCTTTGATGGACTGAATTCCAGATAGAAAATGAGCCTTTTGTAGATGACTAGAAAGGCAAGCAGCTTCCAGGCCTGGAGCAGGAGGCTGGTCTAGGAACAGACAAATAAAGGAGAAGACCTGCCACAGACCAAGACCTTGCCAGACAAGGAAATATCAGATAAGACTTAGGTGACAGTGTGGGCTGTCAGGATAGACTGCAATCTGAAAGTGTTCTCAATGCAAAGAATTGCCTTAGACAATTCGTGGTTTTCCCTCTCCCCTGAATTTTTCTGAAAAAGTGGTACTAAATAGGTTATAGAAGCAGAGAGAGGAAAGCAGGAAAGGAAAACCACTGCAACAGCAGCCTTTGTTGTCGTTGTTGTTGTTAGGTGCCGTTAAGTCAGTACCGTCCCATAGCGACCTTATGCATAGAAGAACGAAACACTGCCTAATCCTGGGCCAACCTCACTACTGTCGCCACGCTTGAGTCCATCGATGCTGCCACTTGGCCAATCCATCTTGTTGAGGGCCTTCCTCTTTTTCTCTGACCTTCCACCTTACCAAACATGATATCCTTCTCCAGTGACTGGTCCCTCCTGACAATATGTCCTAAGTATGAGAGACAAAGTTTGGTCATCTTGGCCTCCAAGGAGCACTCTGGCTGCACTTCTTCCAAAAAGAATCTATTGGTTCTTTTGGCAGCCCATGGAACTTTCAATATTCTCCTCCAACACCATATCTCAAACACCATAACCATAACTACCCACCTCTAATATTAAGATCTAAAAGGCAGTTGCTACTGTTGATGTTAAGTGCCGTCGAGTTGGTTCTGACCCATAGCAACCCTGTATAGGGTTTCTGAGGAGCGGCTAGTGAGCTTGAACCACCGACCTTGCAGTTCAAACTGACTTTGCAGTCCAGTGCATTAACTCATAGCGCCACAGTACAGAAAACAACAATATTATATATATACTATTGTTTTTATAATCATTAGAATACAATAAAAATCATGGTTCTTATTAAGAAGCAAGAAAATGTGATTCATAATTAGGAGAAAACACCATCAACAGGAGACCCATAGATGACTCACTTACTGGTATTAGCAGACAAGGATTTTAAATCAACTGTTATAAACTATATAAAGACCTTACAGGAAAAAATGTTGAAAGGTTGACGATAAGGAGTATTTGTGGAGACAAATGAAAACTCCAAATAAGAACCAATGGAAATTCTAATTTGTAAAAATATACTACTATCTTAAACAAAAAATCATTTGGATGGCCTTAATAGTAGAATAGCACTGTAGAAGAAAGGATTAGTACATTTAAGACAAATGACATCTTTATTCTTAACACCATAAAGAGGTCTTGTGCAGAAGATTTGCCTAATGCAATAGGTAATTGGATTTCTTGACTGCTGTTTCCATAAGTGTTGATTGTAGATTTAACCAAAATGAAGTCTTTGACAACTTCAATCTTTTCTCCATTTATCCTGATGTTATTTATTGGTTGAGTGATGAGGTTTTTTTTGTTTGTTTGTTTTATATTGAGTTGCAACCCATACTGAAGGCTGTGGTCTTTGATTTTCATAACTAAGTAATTTAAGTCTTCTTTGCTTTCAGGAATCAAGGCTGTATCATCTGCATATTACATGTTATTAATGAATCTTCCTCTAATACTGATGCCATATTCTTCTTCACATAATCCAGATTCTCAAATTATTTGCTCAGCATATAGATCGAATAAGTATAGTGAAAGAATACAACTTTGGCCTACACCTTTCCTCACTTAAAACTATTTACTGTCCCTTGTTCTGTTCGAACAACTGTCTCTTGCTCACGTGCAGGTTCCTCATGAGCACAAGTAAGTGTTCTGGAATACACTTTCTCCCCAATGTTGTCCATGGTTTGTCAGGGTCCACACAGTCAAAAGCCTTTGCATAGTCAATAAAGTACAAGTAACCATCTTTCTGGTATTCTCAGATATCAGCCAAGAACCATGTGACATCAGCAAGGAGATTCCTCATTCCATGTCAACCTATGGCAGTTTCCTATTGATGTGCTGTTGTAGCCATTTTTTAATTCATGCATACACAGACCTAAGTACATGTATTAACATATTTAAACCAAGAGCATTTTAAGTCTCCTATGCCTGTTCCCTTGAGGGGAGATCAAATATGGGTACCTAAAATCTAATTTATGCTAGGTTGTCCATTTATTTTTTGTAGAAAGTATGCAGATTTGAATGGACATTCCAAATGTCATACTCTCAGTATGACATTAATTTCACCTCTTCTTGGAAAATGTTGAATAGTGCATCATCTCAGTTCTGACAAATTGCCTTTTATGTAACTTATTTCCTCAAATGAGTTCAGTATTTAGCAGCTGTTATCATTTCCATCACATAACTTTGCAATAGAGGATAAGTTTCCATGATGAGTTTGTGTATTTATTCTAGGGCCTAAGATTTATATCAAATACTCAAGAAACTTAAAATCTATTTTGGTGCTACCAAGCCTCCAACACAATTTATAAATCCCACTTTTTTTCTTTCTCGTGGCAGTTAGTGGATTACAAACTGGGCTGCTAACTGCAAGTTTAACAGTTTGAACTGTTAACTTGCTAACTGCAAGTTTAACAGGGTTGCTATGAGTTGGAATTGACTTGGTGGTGCATCACAACCATCATTACCAGTGTATATGGTTTAAGTGAGAGAATGCATAATGATTATTGTTTTTGCTTTGATTGCTTCTTTTCTAGCATCTTTATTTGGTCTTCCTGAAATTCCTGGTAAAATAAGTGTGTGATTTGGGTGAGAAAATACACAGCAATAAAAGTTACAATAAATTTGCTTCAAAGATGTAGGAATTACAAAATTTTATTCATCCAGTAATTCATAAAGCAAAAGTGGCTTACACGCAAGCAGAATCTGTCTTTTAATTCTAACTAACCTGACCATTTAGCACTTTCTTCATGGTGTCACTTGTCAAGCTTATTCAAGTGATTTTTCTCCCCAAATTTCTTTCTGATGGAGCCACCAGTTATTACATCCATGATCTGGTTAGCCAGGTCAATTTTCTATTGCCAAGTTCTTCCTTGCACTGCCAATATATCATAATGCCCTAACAGACAGGGATAAAATCTTGAAATTAATCTAGTCTATCAATGATTAAATGCTGTGTTTTAAGAAACGTATGTAAATATTTATTTTCATATCAACAATAAGAATTAACTAGTATTGACATCCTTATATACTAGCAAGATGAAAGATTTAGCATGTATTTATTTCTATCCATCACCTCATTTTGTTGAAGTAATTTGGAGTTCTTTGTAATGTATTAATGTTTTCATCATCATGTGTTTTAGAAAAATTTCCTAGAAGTGCATTATATTAATAATGTCATTGTCACAGAAGTTATTAGAACTTAATGTTGTTGATTTATTTGCTCACAAATATATCTTGAGTTCTATAACTTCCTTCTTGTTTTGGAAATCCCTAATTTACTTTTTATTTGGTTAGAGAATACCCTGGAGTATATATATATATATAATGTTTTATTGTGAATTATGTGATAGTTTACATGAGAGAACATTAGTTTTACATTCATCCTATCATATATCATTCCATTGCCATGGTTACAATCCCCTCCATGCATCATCAACCAACCAAAGGGTATATCCTACAAGCCAGTGCCTCCTTCTCTGCACATAGCCCCTCTCCCTCTCTGG